ATATTCTGAGTAGAGGTTCTAGTAGTGGCACAAATCAAGTTACGGAAGGAAGGTGGTTGTAGAACAATCTTTGGCACTGCTGAGGAAATAATTTTCACTGTTAATTACTCATCCTTCTGCTTATCAGTCACATTGAGAAAGAAGGGTTTTATGTTAAGTATTATTTCAAATATCTTTTTTAATTTATTTTATTATTTTGTGTGTGTGTACTGTCAAATCAGATCTGACTGGTACTGGAGGAGATTGTCACTCATTCTCCAGCAGAGCATCTGGTGGATTCGAACCACAGCCTTCTAGGATTGCAGTGCAGCTATTTACCACTAGGTCAATGCTCTTTTTTTAATATCAAGAATAAAAATTATTCTTTTTCAACAGACATACAGATGTTAAAAGAATAAAGAAATAAAATAGATTGGTAGTTTTATACATGTGACACATTAGTGTCTAAAGATACTTCTCATTCAAGAAGAAAAAATTCATAATATTCTACATATTTTATAGCAGATACTTAGTGAATATAATATTACATGTGCTGAAGAATAATATTAAAAATAATTTTGTTGTAAATGAAAAACCATATTCTTTTAGAGCATAGCTAACAAATAAGTTCAAAAGTAGGTATAGTAACAGTCAAGATTTTAAAAAGTATACCTAACAAAGAATTTTATCTTCACCATTTTTACAATGACCACTTAAAAGAATTAAGGCCTTATTAATGACTTATAGATAAAAAGATATATGAAGCGCAAAATAAAATCATCATGTGTATTTTCTACAAAACAAGAGCTTATAAGAAATTCTGTTACTCTTCCCTCTTCATCATGGGAAAGGACTGGGAAATAGTCAAGCAATTAGGAAACCTGATTGTGGAAGAGGGAACTACCAACTTAACAAGGTACATCGTGCTAAAATACGACATGGGCTGTTTGGTGAAGTTCGTTATGTGTTGTGCAGTCAGAGCTGACTCCTAGATGACCCCCCAGCCAGAGGGAAATATAGCAGGCTCCACTGTATTTTTATTTTTTTTCTCTTTGAAGGATATTCTTTAATAATTTATGTTCACAAAATAAATAGTCACTTTTAAAAAGTGGTACTACTAAGTTTTAACTAGAAAATAAAACATTTCCCACAAAATCTTTAGGGAATTACATCATGCTTTGTATGCATAACTAATCTTTATAGACGCTCGACAAGATATATTCGTATTGGGGAGAAGGATGGGCAGTCTCCTCCCATGCAATTCACTGCCTTTGAGTCAATTCAGAATCAACCAAACACAATAACAACTTTATATATGGAGTTCTGGTGGAAAAGTAGTAAGGAGCAGAGTTGCCATCCCAAAGGCAGACAGTTTGAATCCACTAGCTACTTTGTGGGAAGAGGATAGAAAATCTACTCCTATTCCACTTACTTCCTCTAAAAACCCCCTGGAAGGTGAGCAATGAGTCAATAGGCGCTGATGCTGCCTCAGCAGGAAAGAAACAAAATATATACACATTCTATTCTCTATATTTTGATTGTTTTCTGGAGGCTTATTTCAATACACAGAGCTCTGGTAGTCTGGTAGAGAAGGACTAGTCCTGGATCTTAAAATAGGAGGTTTGAATCCACTAGGTGGTCCACCAAAGAAAAGTGGGCAACTTCCTTCTGTGCACTGTACACCGTCAGAAAGCTAGGGAGAGGTCAACAAGGATTTGCTTTTGACTTGACAGTGATGAGAAAAACAGAGTGGATATTTAAATATTATGAATAATTAGATTTTTTTGAATTTTTTTCCTATAGGAACCATGACAATCAGAGTTTTGCTGCCACATTCATCCTCTTGGGCTTCTCAGATTACCCAGACCTCCAAGTGCCCCTCTTCATTTTCTTCCTGATCGTCTACACAGTCACTGTTCTGGGGAACCTGGGCATGATAATGATTATCAGAGTCAACCCCAAACTCCACACCCCAATGTATTTCTTCCTCAGCCACTTGTCCTTTGTCGATTTCTGTTACTCAACTGTAGTTACACCTAAGCTCTTAGAAAACTTGATTGTGGAAGACAGAACTATTTCCTTTACTGGATGCATCATGCAGTTCTTTTTGGCTTGTGTATTTGTAGTAACAGAAATGTTCATGTTGGCAGCAATGGCCTATGATCGATTTGTAGCAGTTTGTAACCCCTTGCTTTATACAATTGCGATGTCTCCAAAGCTTTGTTGCTTGTTGGTGACTGCTTCTTACTCTTGGAGTATAGTCTGCTCCTTGACATTAACCTACTTTCTATTGACTTTATCTTATTGTGGGACTAACTTCATAAATAACTTTGTCTGTGAGCATGCTGCTATTGTTGCTGTGTCCTGCTCTGACTCCTACATGAATCAGAAAATGATATTGGTATTTGCCTCATTCAATGAGATAAGCAGTCTCTTAATCATCCTTACATCCTATGCTTTTATATTCATTACTGTCATGAAGATGCCTTCCTCTGGGGGGCGCTACAAAACATTCTCTACCTGTGCTTCCCACCTGACTGCCATTACCATCTTCCATGGGACTATTCTATTTCTCTACTGCGTTCCTAACTCCAAAGGCTCATGGCTCATGGTCAAAGTGGCCTCTGTGTTTTACACAGTGATCATTCCCATGCTTAATCCCCTGATTTACAGCCTCAGGAACAGAGATGTGAAAGAGACAGTCAGGAGGTTAATCAACGCAAAGTTAATCTGTTTTAAAGTCTAAATACATATAGTGTTGTTTCTTAAGACTAAACTGGTGAGAAATAATAAGTAATGAGTCTGTATGTGATTCAACCACAATATGCGAATTCACATTTCAATTTTGGTTTAGTTAAATGTTCAGTAAAATAACATTGATCTCAGAAGTACTATTTTTAAAAATGTACTATTAGAACATGACACTCAGAACTATTAAATTTTTATTTATAAATTAGAAAATGAAATTTTCTTGCTGTTATGTATAGGTATAGGCTTACCCTACCCAGACCAACCTTAAATCACTTTATTTCAAATTAAAGAAGGGTTTTTAGATTATCTACAAAGTTATTGATTATGGGGACAAATGTTTGCTCATATTTCAAAATGATGAAGTTAAACAGTTTAATATAAAACTATAGATATATAAATCTTAATTAAATTCTAAATTATGTTCTTTAAATTAGTTAACATGGATAAATGTTAGCTGTGCAATTACCAGAGTCTGGCACAGTTAACTTATAATTGCTAATTTAAATTGCATTACCTTCAAATGTACTAAAACACCAGGACAGTTTAGAAGTACCTACCGATGACTTACTTTCTTTTTGTCTTTTATGTGAATGTGATAATTATATTGTTTTTACATTGAAATTTTACTAAAATAAATTTACATTTACTGTTAGTTGTAAGAAAAAATTTATCACATACATATTTTACTTCACTTAACTCATGATATTAAAAGTAACAACACTCATGAGTCCTGATAGAATGCCCAACAAGATGAAAATCACATTTTGAGAGATGAAAATAGGCTACTTTCTTTCCTTGACAAAACTGAAGCCATTCCAATTAAATTTTGAAAACCCGGGATATAAAATTGCAATATAGTAGGATATTTAATAAGTAACATAAAAGGTTTGACTCATGTGGACTTGTGGTATATATTTTTGCAATTAGACTTATGAATTAAATTGATAAATCAAAAATTGAGAAGTGATAAAGGAGTTTGCCACTTCAGTGTTCTTTTTTTTTTAAAATGTTATTTTATAATTTTGTGTGTGTACCATCAAATTTTATCTGACTGGTACAGGAGGAGACTGCCCCTCCTTCTCCAGCAGAGCATCTGATGGATTTGAACCGTCTACATTTCGGTTTGCAGTGCAGCTTCTTTCCACTAGGTCACCAGAGCTCCTTGTTGTTGTTGTGATGTGCCGTTGAGTCGCTTGCGACTCGTAGCGACCCTATGTACAACAGCCCTAAACTCCACTCTGTCCTGTGCCAATTGCACTGACTCTGACACTCCCATCCCAATTATCCCAGTCACTGAATCAATCCACCTCATAGAGGGCCTTCTCTCCTGCGCTGTCCCTCCACCCTCCCAAGCATGATATCCCTCTCCAGGGACCGGTCCCTCCTCACAACATGTCCAAAGTATGTTAGATGGAGCCTCAGAATCTTTGCCTCCAAGGAGCCACCCGGTTTAACCCTTTCCAGGACAAATCTGTTTGTTTTCCTAGCAGTCCATGGTATTCTCAATACTCTTCTCCAGCACCACAGCTCAAAGGCATCAATTCTTCTTCTATCCTCCCTGGTCATTGTCCAACTCTCTGATGCATAACAGGTGATTGCGAAGACCATAGCCTGTATCAGACACACCTTAGTCTCCAGAGAGACACCATTGCTCTTCAGTACTTTGGAGAGGTCCCTAACAGCAGACTTTCCCATGGCAATGCGCCTTTTAATTTCCTGGCTGCTGGTGCCAAGACTGTTGTCTATGAACCCAAGCAAAGTAAAGCTGTGTACAATCTCAATCTCTTCACCATCCATCCTGATGCTGCCAATTGGTCCAGTGGTGAGAATCTTTGTCTTCTTGACATTGAGCCTCAATCCATATTGTAGGCTGCAGTCCTTGACACTCTGAAGCAGGCGCTTCAGGTCCTCCTCAGTTTCAGCTTCAGTTCCAGGGCTTACTGTTCTTTTTTTGAAAATAATACAAAAACAGAAACAAATTAATTGGTTGTGTGCCCTCAAATTGGATCCAACTGGTCCAGGAGGAGATTACTCCTCTTCCTGTGTATAATGTGGTAGATTTGAACAACATTTCTTCAGGATTGCAGCTCAGCTTCTTGCCACGAGGCCAGCAGAGCTCCCCTTCAGTGGTTTTTAAGTCATTATTTGCTTAGACTGTAACAAATCTTTTTTTTAAGTTCTATAACTCCAATGAGACTTCTCTTTCCCTTCAGATTTATAGCCTTGAAAATCCAATGAGTGTCATTATGTTTTGGTATCAGTGCAATGAAGTGAGTTTGGGGTTTTGTTAGGTTTTGGTTCTGAGTATTTTTAAGTAATTGAATAGAAGTAGCCTTGTAGCTGTGTTAAAGTATGTTACAGCCTAGTTCACAGACAAGGTGTGGTTCAACTATTCCAAGTGTTTCCGTCTCTGGTAGCTCACATCCACCAGAGGCTCCACAGAAAGGGATGAGAAATCTCCTCCCAGGAGATTGATAGTGTTAGAAAATCCATGGGATGTGTATTGGAGGTTTTTCACTACTCCATGGCACAGAGAGAGTGATGCTGGCAAACCCATCAGTATCATCAACACCAGAATCTCCACTTCTTTTGAATAATTCTGGTACAATTTTTTGGGGGTTTGTGTTTTTTGCTGTTGTTCAAATGGTACTGCATATTCTAATAGACTAATATTTTTTTTGGTCAAGGAATCATTTTATAAAGTCAATTGTTTTTGTTATGTGCTGTATAGTCACCTATGACTTACCAAGATGGTATGTATAGCAGCTCTGAACCCTTCCCTGTCCTGAGCCAGTCTCACTTATTCCAACACATATTCCCTAATTGCCCCAGGTAGTGTATTAATCCATGTAGTCCAGGGTCTTCCTGTGCTGTACTGGCCATGCACCTTTCTGAGCATGATGTCCTTCCTCAAGGATCGATCTCTCCTGACCATGTGCCCAAAGTATGTGAGACAGAGCTTCAAAACCCTAGCATCAAAGGAGACTTGGCAGTGGACAACACCATGTCCTGTCTTCCCCTGATTTTTGTGCATTTGAACGATAGATACAGGAACTGCCCAGATAAATGTAATCTAAAAGAGTATGAACACCAGGAAAGTATTGCGTGTGGAGTAGCAGCATCACTCCCTATGGATTGTGCCACCAGTGTGCTCATTAATGGTGCTAAATCAACATTATCTGAAAATGGTATGGTTATACAAAAGGAACCCCAAAGTAATATGTACATTACATATACGTATATATATACACTGTATATAAAATACATAT